CCCCCCGCCTGAGTCTTTTCGTAGGCCCACCCCCGAGCCGAATCGACTGCGATCTCAGGGATGATTTATGGTAATCTTTCTGCTTTCGTGCCGGTCGTTCATCCTGGTCTAACCTCGGCCTCCCTCAGCCCTTCTTTCGCCACCCCTCAGCCCTGTGGCACTCTATCGTACACGTATACAACCGAATGATGCCGTGTTTACTGCCACACCCTTCGATATATGATCAATTTCATAGACACTGGGTTGTAAAAGTATTATTAATCATTTTGAATTTAAAAATAGGTGTTTGGGAGGGAGTATTCGTCACGTGGATAATTTTTGATAGTGTGATTTATGGTGTTTGTGGGGATATGATGGTCGAACCTGAATGTTTGCGCCTGATTTATGAGGGGACCTAAATGTATGCCCATGCCTGATTTTGAATTTGTTTGATCCTGAATTTAGCATTAAACATGAATTTATACATGCCCCCGAGTTCAGCTAGATACCTGAACTTAAATTAATTAATTAATTTAAATTTATACCTGAACCTGAAGTCTCACAAAATCTTGAATTCACTGCAGAACCTAAATTAATGCCTGAACCAGGATTTATACCTGCTCCTGCATTCCTATTCATCCGAAAAATCAAATATGTGCCTGAACCTGAATCCACACCCACACAAGAATTGGAATTTATTTCGAACCTGAATTTATGCCTGATCCTGAATTCATACCCACACCTGAATTAGCATCTATGCCTGAATCTGACTTAATATCCTATCCTGAGTACATATTCATACCCGAATTCTAATCTACACCTGAACCTGAATTTCTGCCCGACCCCGAATTCGGATCCAAATCTGAAATTTATGTCAGAAAATAACACCCCACGCGTATAAAACTCAATCAATAATGCAACCTTCATTATTTCATGAAGGAGAACTTCAGATTGTGATCACTAATGACCCAAGCAGTTTAATCACGCCGAGAATAAATGCATAAATATTTTCCTGCCATCACAATCGCCCGGGAACTTGTAATTCGATTCCGTCGACTTCTCGCACGTGCTCCAGATGGAGACAGATAAAAAAAAATCCACCCGGTGAGTTTATTGGAAAACAGAAAGGTTTGCTCGTTCGAAAGAGATAAAAACAATTGAAGAGTGCTCTCTCGACCCCGAGAATGAAAAGTGGTGGAGAAAAAAAAATTGAGAAAATAAGGTCTCGATAAAATTTGCATTACTCCCAGTGTTCCCTTCAATCGAAGAAGAAGAAAATTAGGGAAAAAAAATATCATGAAGAAAATGAGAAGGTAGAAACTGGCGAACGAATAGGCAGTGGAATGGGAATGAAAAATGGGAGGAAAAGTAGAGTGCATAGATATTTAAACATCGAACCCGGTTATCGAAACCGTGCGGGTGCACGGGCCTCGGGCGAAACTTCCTCTTCTAGGTAATACTCCAGTGGGAATTGTTTTTTAAGGGTGCCAGTGATGTCTGCTACCTCGAGGGCGCAGCGATAAAGCGGTGGAACGCATGTTGCTCAGACAGGTATGTTGAATCTTTGAATTTAATTATTTCAGGAATTATTCGAGATGTGAGAAAAATCTTGAGAAAATTTTTCGTTTTTTAGGGAGAAAAAAATTCAATACTATGGATTTTTCGCGTGGATATTCACCAATTTGAGTTTTTTTCACTGGGAGACGGCTTTTAACTACGCGGCGCGTACGTCCGAGTGAAAAATCCCCATATTAGTCACTCCAGAATAGACAGATGTGACTATTTCATCGTTCATTTGCTGAAATAGTCAACGGTTCTGCCAGGTGCTTCAATCTTGAATCCGTAATCTTTTAATTACGCGGCGCGTACGATAAAAAAAATCGTATATTTGTGGAAGCGGAACGAATGGATTTTCAACATGAATTCGTAATTGACCGACATATTCCCGTCTCAACAAAATTATTTCACTTCCCGAGTCGAATAATTGGAAATGACAAGATTTTCGGTTTTTACTTGGAACAAGGGTCAGATTTGTTAACACTTTCTTTTTTTATTTGGACAATGCATGCAAGCGGAGGGGCAAGAGAGGCTAGAATAGATTCTGCAACCTTCTCCGCTTGTTGGATAAAAATGTCAAGCCTCCGCAAACATGCATCTCCCCTCCACCCTCCCGTGAAATGTCGATTGTCGAGATTAAAAAAAAAACAATAATTGCATTTTTTGTTTCAATAACGCATGAGTAAATAGGGATATGAACGCAGATTTAATATAGGCCCATAGAATTACGGGGACCGGCAAGGATTTGGAAAGTCTGAATGCAAGTCCTGCTTACACCTAACAAGTGCTGAAGTGGGACATAACCAGAGGTAGAAAGGTCTCGGAAGCACTTGGGAAGAGGCTTCCCAAGACCTATCCAGTTCTGAACGGAGAGACCTAAGTAGAATTTGTCAGGTCCAATTATTCGACTCGGGTACTGGCTACGCGACGCGTACGAATGGAGTGGAAAATTCCACATTCCACTACGCGGAGCGTACATCCGCGTAAAAAAATCCCACATTGGTCAGGCTAGGATGAGAATCATCAATTTACTAAAACGTTTACCGATTTTAACCTTTTAATTACGCGACGCGTACGACCAAGAATAGACAGTGCATTTTCGTGATGCAGTATTGAGTGGATTTTCAAAATAAATTCGTAATTAACCGAGATATTTCGAGCTCAACAAGATGATTCTAGGTGAACATCAGTTCCAGGGGCTCCTGGCTACGCGGCGCGTGTCAGTAGAAACTTCCGTAATGGTAGGACTGGAAGGAACCCAGTTATATCTGACCAGATTAATCGGTAGAAGGCAACCAATCGAAACCAAAAGTATGTGGGAGGTGTTTGGGCGGTGACAACGATAGAAATTCAATCTGGTTGGCACGCAGGGAAATTGAAGAGAGAACTGCCGAGCGTTTCCAGAAAACGATGATCTGCACCCGTAGAAAAAGAGGCAAAGAAATGCGAAAGTGTAGGGTTTTTTTTTCACCTCCACACCCGCTTTTTACCCTATCACCATCGCTCCTCAAACTCCTCATATTGGTGGATAGTAAAGAGGGGCAATTCACTGAGAGATTCTCGTGGTTTCATTCCCAATCTCCCTTACCCACTACTTCATCGATCGATTTCCACTCCTTGGATAGCTCGCGGGATGATATCGCTTTTTTTCTCACCACTATCGGATTTACGTTAATTCTATTCGTCGATCCCTCCCAGTTGTGGGAATATTTTCTCAGGGGTTTTCTTTATCTTTTTGGGAATGGTTGGATGGAGCTGGTGTGATGAATTAGGCTCTTGTGGTGCTGCTGATGGTGGGGGAGAATTTATTTGGAACAATCGAAAATTTCAGGTTACGGATTGATGGAGATTGATGCAATTGATGCAGTTGACTCCTCCAGATCATGTGCTCGAAATGTAGCGACACTTTTGAGAAAATGAAGCCAAACAATATTCTGATGTCTCACCCAAATCACCATGTGAAGATTGGATAAATCACCCGACGACTGAGAGACAAATTTCAAGGAGTTGAAATTGTGGAAGAAGGGGCACCAGACTTCGACTAAGCGTCACTCAAGATTTAACTTTGGTCTCGGGCGCAAGATCGGAGTAAATATCTGGGAGCTACAAGTGGGAGATTTTCTCATCCCTTGCAACCACCCCTCATCCCTTTTTTTTGTACTTCCTCTCTTTTCCAACTAGCACACATGCACAGACGTCTTCGATCCACTCCTCTCATCCCCCTTCCTCCTCTCCCCCTTGGCCTTCTTCTTCTACTTTTTCACCAACTCTCTTTTACCCCCTCCACACACTACGTTTGGAGTTTACCAGTTCGCAAAAGTATCGAATAGCTGTGAGCGCAATGGAAGCTGAAAGGTTTCCGGTATGGCAGAAACTTTTGACTGACGTATCTTCGCATCCCCTCGCCACGGACGTTTTTTTCCTTCTCCACATGCTGACAATTTTTTCCTCAAGTCCCTCTGTCGCTAGGAGAAAACTTCGTTTCATGTCAATGTGAGATAGTTCATGAGAAATATCTTTTTATTTTCATGTGGCGCAGGGGATGACGCAGAAAGACGATTGGGAATTATTGTAAATTATACCGAACTGATTCAGTAGAGCCATCACCTTTCAATTACGCGGCGCGTAATCCATTACTAACCGAGATATTCGCCAGCTCAACACGATGACTGCACCTGGGCATCAAACTAACGACCGCCCGGATACGCGGCGCATAAAAGTCAAGCAGAAAAT